ATTTCAGGCCCAATGTGCCCATTGACATGGGAGTGAATGCTTTCCACCAATTATACATGAGTTTAATGCAGAATGTGACCCAGCATGTGAATATTTGACCGCTGTGCATGCTTCTCTTATCTGCATCCCTCTCACATTATCTGCATCTCTCTGTTTTTCTCTGACTTTGGCCTTTTTCTCTCCATCCGTCGTCCAATTTCAGGAATTTCCCCTGGGAGTTATTCAAGTATAAAGGCCAAAGCAAGAGAACGTGTCCTCTCTGTGATCGCCTCATTTTTCTGTCTGAAAAACATCTGAAACAAAATCAGAAATAATTTCACCTTCTTAACTTAATTTCATCCTGATCCCACGTGGAGAAAAAAAAAGAAGAAGTATGGCCGTGACTAAAGTGTGCACCTGAAGGCTGACTCTTTGACCCCTCTTTTGACCTCGCTGCCGATCATGAGACCAGGTCCTCCCATCCTCTCCCCGCTCTCTCCCGCAGGAGCTGCAGGAAACCGTCTCTTGTGACCCAGCGGTCTGTGCAGCTATGGAGAGGCCCATTACTGCAGTCACATGGCAGGTTAGCACAGGGACGAAGACAACCATGTGAGCTCTATTTTCTAACAAGATACAGCTTTCCCCGGAGGCCTATGAATGTCTCACACAGGACACAGAAAATGTCTGAAACAGCATGGTTGCTTTTGTTTCCTCGATGTTAGATTCAATCATATAGAGACATTAAGACTCAGCTTGAAGCAGTGCACAGGTGTTTTGTCTTGGTTTAGATTTAAGGGTGAACAGGTGAAAGATCCACAGGTTGTTCCATTTCTTATTAAACGTCAAATGAAGGAGAAACTATGAGCTTCAATTACTGAATACCAGGATATGACTTCTAACATGTCATATTTATTACAGGCTACATCTTTAAACATGTTTTGAATAATTAACAAAATCACAGATCATGAATAAGTAGATAAATACCGGTCCAATTGTCGAAATCTAATTTAAAATCCAGATGTTACACACTCAGAGTGCTGGAGGTGGAAATGTAAAGGTTATAAATAATCTTCAATTATTTAAAGTTTCTATTGAAGTAGTTGTGGGTTCTCGTTTCATTAAGGCTAAATCTGTTGTTGACAGCCACTTTCTCTTAGTGGAGAGTTTACATTTTGCAGTTCAGCATTATTCCAAACATTAACAACAGAAATATTCTGAGAAATGTAAAGAACATGTCATTATATCTACAAGAAAATCGTCTGAAATATAAATATTTTAAAGGCAGCGCAGCTTCATTTCCAGACTGTTTTCTCATCAGAAGATCAAATGACCTGCAGGCAGTTTTGATAATATAATCAAGAAAACCACATTTCTAAAAATGAACATCTTATAAGATTCGACTTGTTTTCGTTCCTCATGTGACGTCAGCATTTTTTTTTCAAATATTCAGCAAAGGTTTTTTATGTTTGTTTTTGTTTCTTTACAGTTAAACTAATTTTATTTGACAAAAAAAAGGCACAAATTCTCTGTCAATTTAGAGAAAAGTCATAACTCGTTCGTTCACATGGAAATAATTGAACGTGAAAAACAACATTGAAATTTGAAAATAATTAACGAGAGGTTGAATATCTCGTTAGGAAAAATATTGAAGGCCACGACGTTCCTTTTTATGGTCTGTTCGGTTGTTAAATGTAAAAAAAAAAAAATCTACATAATAAATTAACATAATATAAGCACGTTTACGTTAAAGCTCGAAATGTTACAGCCGTGTTTTTCGTGTTTCAAAGTACGGATCATTTTGGGTAATCAATTAAAAGTAAACAAAATATCCTTCGGCGTTTTTAAACAAAGGCTTCATTCTTTAAAAAGGAGAAGGAAAAAAAACATTTTTTATTTATGAAGTGTTTCTTCACACAGATGTAACCAAAGTCTAAATATTGATTTCATCACCTCGTAACAACAACAAAAAAACTTCCAACATTTATCATTTTTTGTTTGTTTGTTGTTAAGGCTTTCCATAATTTTGACGACAAAGCGAATGTAAATTCCCACAAAACGACATCACTGTTATCCCTGAATAAACTACAACACGATGACATCCAAAGAGAATAAAAATAAAAAATAAAAAAGCATATCGCGCAATACTGAGACGATAGGACTGACAGGATTGTGTCTAAACGAAGTGATGCTTTGTAAAACATGAATTCGTTGCCATATAATGACTGTATGGAAATATTTATTAAAACGTAGATAACAATAATCCAGGAGCGCGATTTAACTTGTTAGAGGTCATGTTAAATATTGAACAAATATCAAAATAGAATATCAATTTCTTTTTGTTTTCTTTTTTTTCCTATAGAGTTTGTTAAGCATGTCATTAACGCCGCACTCTGATTACATGTCAACAACACCTTCCTCTGTCTAACCGGCCTCTTCTGTAAAATACAAACTCCCCGGGGGACCATGCACCCCCAGCTGCACTAAACTAAACACTGTGCGTAAAACCGCAGCTTCCTCCAGCAGCTCTCTGCTCTCTACACACACACACACACACAAACACACAAACACACACATACATACACCGTCAACACTTCACTGCAGAACGAAAAGAAAAGGGGAAAACTGCAACAACAACCCCTCTTAATATATCATCCGACACAGCCATAAACACTCACTTTAAGCCTCGGAGGCCTCATGCAGGATCCCACTGATGTTGAAGGTCGTTGGGGTTCAGCATGGAGGTACCCCCCTCCCCCTCCTCCTCCTCCTCCTCCCACCACCCCACCATCCACCCATCTCCCCTCTTTATCCCCCCTACCATTCTCTCACATCCAGGTGCTGCAGAGAGTATAGACAGATAGAAAAGTTGGCTATCTATAATAAACAGAGAGATATCCGTGTGTCCCGTCTGCTGCAGAGTGTTTTCTACGTGTGCGCCACTGGTGTCTTTGCTCGGACATAAGGGGAGAAAGACGCACACATCGCTCTCTGTTATCAATTTTTTCCATGTTTGCGGCAACAAAACTGCTTTTTGTTCCCCATTTTTTTTCATTTACGAGGGTTAATGGATAGAGGCTTGGGCGTTTGATCACATGGCTACAATTCACCTGAGCGCGAGACAAAGAGAGCAAAGAGAGAGGAGAGAGAGAGAGAGGGAGCGAGCTCAACATGAGAGGCAACGGACACACAGGGGTTATTGTTGCATTCATTTCGTGTCTGTGTGTGTGACTGTGTGAGTGTGTGTGTGTGTGTGTGTGTGTGTGTGTGTGTGTGTGAGAGAGAGAGAGTGTGTGTGTGTGCGTGTGCGTGTGTGTCCTGGTGCATCAGATTCTGCTCTAAGTCGATTCTCTTTCTTCCCATCAGGCCTTGCTCTAACAGCCACAACAAAAGCACTAGTGTAAAAGGCAACTTCTTCAAGGATAAAATCTTGTTTTCACAAGATTTACAAGTGGAAAGAAACAATTAATAAGTATTGTTTTGATCATGTATCAAGGAGACACTACTTGTGTTTGTTTAAAGGAATCAGTTTCAAGTCACCTACTTTATCACTTGCGGCCTATTTTTCAATCTCTAACCTCTTAACCGGCTTTATGTGTGCCAAATATGCAGGTTTGATTTCTGCTATGTTTATCAGGATAAAACATAACCTTACTAAATGAATTCTGCTTAAACATTTTACTCCGACGTTACCTTAAGATAAAGATTGTAAGTTCCTGTAAAGTCTAACGGGTGATACGTATTGACTGGATGTCGTCAACACATCAGGGTGGGTCAAACCTCGCGTTGTTTCGCACTTTCCTTCAATGAAACCAAAACATTGTGTTTATTTAAAATCCTGTAATAATTACAGGCTATACCTGTCACTCATAAGTCATTTTTTGCCTGTGTGACATCATCATTGTGGGCGTGGTTGAAACTTGAAGTGAGGCTGGCTGTTGTGTTTCCAGGTACAAATAAACATTGTAATATATATATTTTTAATAATCTACCATATTTTGATATGAAGCGCAATCGTTCAAGTTACCTGACGCAGAACTTCACGTTCTCACGTAAAGAGAGACACTGAACATGTTTGGTGCATCTCTTGAGTTGATGCGTATTTGTGTGTGTGTAAGTTCTATTCAGGCCCAAAGTAACCAAACTGAGCAAATTGGTCAAAATCTTACTTTGAAAAATAAAAGTGGAGCCCATGTTCTTTAACTTTCGGCGATTATTTGGTGAACGAGAGATATCCCATAAAAACTTGGAAGAAAAGCTTCTTTCTATTTTTTTCTTAAGCCGAAACGCTACCGAAAATATTGTTCTGCTGTAGGCTATGGGGAAGTGTGTCATCTTGTTGACCGTTTGTACCAAAATAAACGGGTTTCTTCACCAAAAAAAAAGGAGAAAAAATGACTCTAGGGTATGTTTAATATAAATTCATTGATTTGATTAAAAAAAAAAAAAAAAACGTGATTAAGGCCTATTTAACCCATGCCCTGTCAACATAGTCTTTATGGTTCACTTGTATATGGTTCACTCATTTAACCTTTTTTTTTTTTTTTAAGACGTTACTTTTAACATTTACAGGCTTGGCTTTATATCCACACCAAACTCATTTCGGTTTAATCAGAGCTGAACTTCACAAATCAAAGGGGATTTTTTTTTTCTTTCGGAGGAGGAGGAACGTGACCACATGAGGCAATAACTCTCCTCCTGATTGTTTATTTGTTTGATATACGATGTCAACACGCCACACAAAGCTGGCCTTCTCCTGCCTCTAAATGAACGCACTGTAGAGTCATTTAAGCCACTCCGATGTAAAATCTCACCTCTTCTCTGTTGGAAATGTTGCACTGACGGATAGACGGGCATTAACAGTGGATTGCCTCCGTCCAATCCCAGAGCAGCAGGATAATTAGAGGTCCAATCAGGTCGTGGCTTTGTGCCTGGTGGGCGGGGCTGGCTGTGTGCTGGAATTCTGCCTCTTTGGGAATGTTTTCCACTTTCAATCACTTTTTTTTTTCTACCAGTCCTTCTCACAAGGCGCTCTTTAAGCTCCGCTGTTCACACAGAGCAGCCATTCATCGGCTCTACAGTCAGCCACACACACTCCCATGTCGAACCACTGGACAGCTAAACTGGTAAGTTATGTAATTTTTTTTTAAATAATAAATTTAGCTAACATTAAACGGGAATGTTTCAAATCGGTGTAGACATGTACCAGAGGATTTGTAAAATTGTCTGGAAAGAAGTTAAACAATAATTTAGATTTAAGGATAATATTCTATCCACGGAATTGGCTTTTCCTGGATATGGTTAGTGCATATATAATTAATTATTTATATTAATATGATTATTGCTCCAGAGATTCAGTATCGGCAGTTCGGCCTCTATGGTCACATTTAATCCGCTAAATCTCCTTACTTGTTTAGCTTTAACTAAACCGAGGCGTTTTTTTTTTCTGAACGGGAAACCAGATTCTTTTCATAGCCATTTGTGAGTTTTAAAACATTGCCTACTTAATGGTTTCTATCTTACATTTTCTGAATTTTAGGTGTAACTGTCTTTCCTGAAGCGGATTTCCATCCAGCGGTGGACGGTATTTGGCCGCTTTTACGCAGCAGCAGGCTATGGCTTTGCCGGAGAGTCAGCAATAACTGGGATCGTCGAAGACGCCAGACATCTTATTCTAAACTAAATCGAGTTAATTGCAAAGAGGAGTTCTCTCTGAACATAATTTGAATTCGAGGGTTCACTTGACATTAGCTTAAAAATAAAAACATAAATTAAAAAAAAAGATGTCCGGCGAGGAGCACAGCCTGTCCGAGGCGGAGCTGAGTCCCGGAGGGTCAGACGATGGGCATTCACTGTCACCCATTCAAGCAGGAGCGCCCCCCGGCCAGGGCTCACCTCTGACCGGGCCACCACAGCAGCTGGCCGGGCTGTGCGTCGGGGATGTCAGCGGTGACGATGGCCGATCTGAAGCCAAATCCGAGGAAGAGGAAGACCGCTTCCCTATCGGCATCAGAGAGGCGGTCAGTCAGGTGCTGGACGGGTATGACTGGACACTTGTGCCGATGCCTGTGCGCGTAAACAACGGAAATAAAGCCAAGCCCCACGTAAAGAGGCCAATGAACGCGTTCATGGTGTGGGCGCAAGCTGCGAGGAGAAAACTGGCCGACCAGTACCCCCACCTGCACAACGCGGAGCTCAGCAAGACCCTGGGCAAACTGTGGAGGTTTGTTTGGGGGTTGTGACAAAGAACAGTGTGGCCATACAGTTGCACATTTCCTGTTTAAGCTGTGCGTAAAGGATAAGTGGGGTGATGGTGAACTCAAATGCAAATTACGGCAACATATGAGCTCACATTTGTTTTTTTCAACAAGAATCTTAAAACTGAAATACTTTTTTATGTTCATATGTTTATTAGATTAGATTAAGCCAATTGTAAAATGTATCTTAAACCTGGATTTGTACCTGCTTAACTGGTGGGGCATTCCCTTTTCCTGCTTTTATCCATTACGCATGGTGTTGAGGGCGAAAATAATTTTAATTTTCTGAGAAAACACTTTTTACATTCACACAGAAGGCTTGTGAGACTAAAAGTCGCTCCTTGTTTCTCTCCCCCCAGGCTGCTGAACGAGAACGACAAGAGGCCATTCATCGAGGAGGCAGAGAGGCTGAGAAAGCAGCACAAGAAGGACTACCCGGAGTACAAGTACCAGCCCCGGAGACGCAAGAATGGCAAACTAGCGTCTACAGAGTCCGACAGCCAGGGAGAAGGGGAGGCCAGCCACTCCCAGTCCCATTACAAGACCCTGCACCTAGAACACAACGGTGGAGCTGGGTCTCCCCTGGGTGACCTGCACCACCACCACCATCACCACCACCATCCTGCAGGTACGAGGCGTATCGTTTATTTGTGCGTTTCAAAAGATATTTTGCAAACACCTCGATTAGACAAAAAAAACGTTGTTGTACCTGAGGTCCAAGTGCACTTTACAATGTCGTCTCTTTTCTGATTTCCTCTAGGTCAGGGTCACAGCCCACCCACGCCCCCTACCACCCCCAAGACAGAGCTCCAGACTGGGAAACTGTCAGATGCCAAGAGGGAGGGGGCAGCAGGGGCAGCCGGAGGATCAGGAGGGTCCAGGGGAGCCCTGGGGTTGGGAGCTGATGGGGCCACCGGTGGCCCGTCTTCATCAAGTGCTAAACCTCACATCGACTTTGGCACCATGGACATCGGTGAGATCAGTCACGAGGTGATGTCCAACATCGAGCCGTTTGATGTGAACGAGTTCGACCAGTACCTCCCGCCAAACGGCCACCCACAGAGTGCCAGCGGGGCGTCCGCGGCAGCGTCCTCGGCCTCGTCTTACGCCTACGCCCTGGCCGCCGCGAGTGGCCACTCCGCCTGGCTCACCAAGCAGCAGCAGCAGCCTCAGGCCTCCCCGTCTTCATCGGACCCCACCAAGGCCCAGATCAAGAGCGAGACTGCGTCCGGGAGCCACTACGCTGAGGCGTCTTCCTCCCCTTCCT